AAAAATGGGACCCACCTGCAAGCATTACCTTTCGGATAAAAAAAGAATTATCCAAATCGGTCCACTAGCGGCGGAGTTATGCCGTAATACACATAAAAAAAAATAAAAAAAAATATACCGACGAATTGAATACCTCCTTCTTTTGGGAAGTCGGTCAAAAAGTGAAAACATTTGACACTACACAACTTGCTTAACAAATAAAATTAAAAACGATTCATATAGTTCAACCTCACAATTGATTCGATTCAAATCCGTCTCGATTTAACAACATACTCGACAAAGCGATTTCCTTTCCTCTTGTATATTTTGTCCATTTGAAAATCTGACAGAGTATCAGTACAATGGCGGTGCGCCGGCTTTCGTCGTGACGGAGAGAAAATTAGTTTCAATCTACCGGCCGACCGCAGCCGCCGAGCGCCAATCTGTAAACACAGTATATATTCCGTCCGGGACTTTGAAAATATCGTTTACAATGTCCTTTTGTACCTTCTATTTCGTGTCTCCTATTACTACAGGAGTCACTATTCTCTCAATGTATATAGTAGAACTACAATAAATGTATTTAACATCTTTGAATAGAGTAAGTTTATCTATACAATGTTGAATTACACAACAGAGTAAATTCACAATTCATTAGTAAATTTCATGTAAGCCAAAATCCCAGACAATCATGAAAATACGCCAGACGTCCAATAACAACCTCAAACTGCAAAAGTCATTACCATTTCATCGAACTATCGAACTTTTAATTGCACAATTATGTTCACACGTGCGTAAAGTTGCCGCCGAAAAGCAATCCAGGCATATTTGTGAAAGATGCAACGCTAATGAACTGATGTAAAGTTGAAGCCTTTCATTTTGGCGAAAGCTTTATTCACTAAAACGGACATCGCGTATTCCTGTCGTTTGGAATATTAATGTCCCGTTCAATATTTATGTTGGACGCAAATTTGCATAATCACAGGCCGTGGACACGCACACGCTCAACATTTTTCCTCTCTCTCCCACTTCAACATATGCCAATAAAATTTGCGCCAACGAGCCATTGCACATTCGATTTCTTCATTGGCCGTCCGTTTATTTCACAATAAGTATTAAGTGTGCATTAACATTTTACACGCACGTATTGTTTTGTATTAAAATATTTACGATAAAAACTTTAAAAGCATCCATTTATACAGTTTAATAGAAGAAATATTTTATTTTGCTTTATTTCGCTACAAATTTGTTACTCTCTATCAAAGTACTCATCTAATTACCTACAATAGTCTACTTAGAAATAATAACTAATAAGATTTCTGTACTTCTCATTATTGTACTTTAACATGAATAATGTCCACAGCACTTCGACTGCCGTAACCACGTGCGCGTGATTCAGCCCATGGGCGACGGGTCGCGGCTCTACGTTTGCGGCACCAACGCTCACAGCCCTAAAGACTGGGTCTTATATGTAAGTATACAATTGTTATATTTAACGCGAGTACGATTGAGATGTGAGCAACGATAATGTGAAAAACGTTGATTATGTAAACTGCTGTTCATCTTGAGGCCAGCACATCTGTATTGTAGAGTCGGGACAGATTGATGACAATGACGATTACAAACGAAGAAGGTTTTAATACAGTGTTTAATACGATTTAAAAGAGATGTACTCGATGTACAGATTGTATCAAAACGAACGGTACTGTGATTTCCGTTTATTTATTTTCACTTGAACTGGCACTAGCATTACATTTGGCAAGAAGCCAACAATGCAACAGATCGCAACCTTACTACGCACATCTGTTTCTGAATAAAAAAAATATGTCTCTTTGATTAACTTTTTTACGACTAGATTTTAGCATCCAACCATTTCGCAGGCAGATGCATTACCGCGGACGAACCACGGCTTGCCGTCGCCATCCGCGACAAATTTCACGGCTTCTGATTTCAAATGACATCGTAAGACGAGACCAGATTTTTCCTCAACGCAAAAGAAATTTCTACCCGAACGACTCCGTTAAAGCTCTCATACCCAGTGACAATTTCACAGTAAACGTATTCCGCAACAGTAAACATTTCGAATTTAAAATTTCAATATTCATTTCTCCGTACTCATATTTCGTTCCCCTGACCACTGCAGACGCAATGGAGTGTGCTCTCGTAGCGATAAGTAGAGTTATTTTTATGAAATTATTTTTTAAAAGTCATAAAACCGCTTCAACAATAGGTATCGAAAGCAGACCGCAATAAATTTGCCGCGCCCTGTTCACCTCTCGCCGGCCCTGCACTCGACTTTCATATAATTTTATGATGTATCGTGCCGCTTTGACCCTTCACACGTTTTTATATTACTTTAGATAGCGGTTTAGAGTGACTTTTTCACTATAATAATAAATTATTAAACTGGTATGTCTTCTAACCCTGCTAGGACGCCACTATCCGCTTTTGATATATTATGTACCATTAAAACAATATAACAATTAAAATAATGATATAAATTCGTGATTATTGTTTAACTTGTTACCGACAGCGCGGCAGCCAAAAATACAAAACACTTATTATAAAACAAACATATCTTTATTGAAAACTTATTTACACAAAAAAATATATAAAACTCAAAACTCTGTCGATCACATTCTTGACTTCTTCTATATATTTTCTTTTACAGACGATTATTGCCTTGGTGGCCAGTATGCAACCTCTTTGGCTGTATACATACTGCTTGTCAGCCAAAGAGGTTGTATTTTGCACTCAACAATTATCAAAACAAACATTTCAACGTCGTGATCTACCGTGGTGATAACCTACAACTTTTCATCTAAATTGTGTTTTTTTTTTAATTTACTTAAATATGACTTTAATTTTTTAACCTAATTAAGAAAGTGACTACAAAGTAATAGGATAAAATTTTCACCTACAACTCAATGTTTTTCTATCTTCTTTTAGGATAAATAGTGTACTTTTGTTTTACAATTTTAAACAAAATATTCATCAAATAAATCACTCTGTTAGAGTCATAGCTTCGGGTGATGGTTTCAATTTGGAAGTATATTACGTTTGCGGCGAAAGGGCCATTCAATAGTGTTGATACTGGCCGGACAGTGTTTTACACAGAGCAGCCTGTTAAAACAGAGATAGTGGAAGATTTTATACGACGGAAAGGGTTCGATGTCATTGTTACTTAAATTACTCTGTGCTTTTTTTTATTTATGACAGCAAAATGAAATAAGTGTAGTAAAAGCATCATATTTAAATGTAATTAAGCAAAAATTGCTTACTTACATTTAAAGTTGTAACACATCAAATTGTAAACTCAGATAGTATAAGGTTTGAACAATCCTTTTTTTCGCGTCACCCACTTTAAACGTAACAGTGAAAATAGTTTTACTGACATATAAAATTCAAAACTCTTAAATATAATCTGTGGTTTGAGTAATGCGTTCACTCCCTCCCGAGGGTAAGGGCACGTCAGTTTCAAAAATTGAGTGAAATCACACGTACGGAATCGATAGGGCGATTCTCACTGATGCAACGAGCTGATAGAAAATCGAGCCGACAATTCATATTTGTTGCAACCGCCAATTTATAACAGCAACGATACAAATGGGGCGCAACTATTGAACGAACATTGAAGACAAACGACTATACCGATTGGGCCCCCATCGTTTGACTTCTATTGTTTCTTGTTCTTGCATCTGCGGCAACGATTTGTTTAAAATAACATATTAGATGTTACTGTCAAAATAAACATCACATGAAAGTAAATTATACGAGTAGATGAAAATGTGTATAGAACTATCTACAAACACTTTAAAGAAAAAAAGACGATATACCAAATGATTTTAATAATTTTTTTTACAAACTAAAAAGTCTATTTAAAAATGTATTTTTAGATAGTAAAAACTCCACCGAATTGGCTATAAAAATAAAACATTTTCAACACCTGCAAAATCTAAATCAATATGAAATAAATATAGGCAATCAAAAATCATTTGATTAAATGTTCAAAACAAACAGAGGCATCAGCCGTTTGTTACCGATTACGAGGTACAATAACAATAGGACGATTTGTACGGCAAGCAGATTTAAAACACATTGCATTTATCTTGTTCGAATAAAACGCGATAAGCCCCGCTTATTGATTGTTCCCATTTAAATTGAATACGTTCAATCCGTGCCTCGTCACAAAGCAAATGAGCTGAAACAATAAAATATGTGCCGGTTGAAACGTGCCTTTTTTTCATCAGAAAATAACCTTTCTATACTTTCTTAACTCTTCTTTAACAGCTTCTTTACACTTCGTATTTATTAATTTTTAAAAAACCAGTGTATGAACGTCCATAGCTGGACATAGGTGTGTATAGAACAAGATTGCGTAGCTGTTACCCGTACGTTAAGTGGTTGTACCTCGTTAAAATATTATTAAATTAATTTTAAAATGCATATAATGATTTAAGTAAGTAAATATTTCCTCTCATTTTTTTAATTATTTATTACTGAGTTAAGCACCGACGGGAACACTTAATTGAAGTAAACATTTTAATGTGAACGTGTGTTACTTGCGGTATGAAAGCGACCTTATAGGCTGCCGTGTGAAGGGTGTCTTACAAGAATGTTAACGTCATTATCGTAATTATGGTGGGACGTCGACGCAAACGGCGCAGTTGAGTGCACTCTGCAAAATCACTTTATAAGCCATGCAGTGCAGCATTCAACCACCAAGCCGATGCTATATAACCATTTTTGTGAGACTTTATGCCCCTCGTTAAACTTAATAGAAACTATATCTTACGTACTAAGAATTAAGCTCTTGTAATTTACTCACATTTTTTAAAATAAAATACTCGCTTCATTTTTATTAAAAAAAAAACACTCTTTTTAATTTTATTTAATAAAATATATTAAAACTAAGACGGCGCACTCCTCAAGCAAACTTAGAGTAACTTAAACCGGTCTTAAGGTTAACGAAGTATTTCCTTAATACTTAATTAAAACACACGAGTATAATACCCCTCTAGGCGGTACTAAGTCTGGCTCTAAGTGATACAGGCACCCACTATCCTAAGTCTTACTTTTAATTGAATTTAAATACACTTGAAGAATTAATTTCTTTTTAGACTAAACTTCGAAATCATATCAATAATATTTCCTTTATCTTCTGTAACAATTAACACTGGTTGTATAAGTATGTTTTACATTCTATTCTGCGAAAATGTGCCATAAAAATTCTATCATCAAATACAAAATACAGATACAATTATTTTATTGATAAGAAAATTACAAGTCAGAATGTTAAAAAATAAAAAAAAACTTTACAGATATTTTGAATAAAAATTATACATAAAACAATTATAGTAGGAAAAATTCTTTAACATTATAGAAGAGTTTTTGTATTAGCCATGACTAAAGCTTGTTTTTAAATGACGCGAGGCTGGTAGCCGCTGTAACGTGGTCCGGCAGGCGGTTGTAGACGGCGGGCTCCATGACGTGCGTGGATTTTTCGGTCTTGGCCAGTCGTCATCATTACCTGAAACGTATTATTCATGTCAATTGTGTTATACGATTCGCATAATTAAGGATCACACCAGAACCAGGTTTTCATTAGCCACTATTTCTTTATAACCAACTAGCTGTTCCCGTGCGACTTTATCCGCATAAAATTATGAAAATCTTAATTTTTTTGTTAACATGTGTTAAATTATCAATTGCAAATGTCAAAATGACATGACATGATGATAAACCATGGCAATGTTGCTTCCTTAATGTTGGCAGCTTGTTGTTTATGCTTCCTTCCCCACATGAAGGTTTCTCCAATTTATTTATCCCCCAAATTTAATAGCGTAAAAATATATAGCCTAAAGCGTGTCGTAAGTGTAGGGCTTTTTATTAAAGAAAGAATTTTTCAAAAATATGCTGTGATTGATGACATCCTACGCCACAAAGTAGTGAGTGTTTACGCTTTATTTTATTAGTAATTTTTTTTTCTTTTGTACAACAGAGCCTCGTATTGTGATTACATGTGTACAGTGAGAGTGGTGTAGTCGGGTCGCAGTGTTTACGGCCGCCTAAAACGAGGTAATATTTCACGAGACACCACTGCCAGTACACAGGTGGTTTATCTACCCCATTCAGAATTAGGAGCCAATATTGTCTACGCTTTGTGTTACATTCGTTTTGCAATTGCCACGTCTGTAGCTATGACAAAGGGCTTTACAATTGTTGAACACGTAATTACTTGAACATATTTAAAACCAGCTGTTGCTTACGACTACTTCGTGAAATTATAATACATAACCTATATTATTCACTGATAACGTAACTTCTAAATGGTGAAAGGATTTTTGAAATCGACCCATTAGTTTTGGAGTTATTTCAATATATCAAAAAAAATACAAATCTTTTCTATTTTTAATTTTGGTAAAGATTAATACAAAACCCCTCTACTTTTATAGAAGGCAAAGAGTAAAAGATAAGTTCAATGAGATCGTCATATAATGTAAAAAATGTTTCACTAATACTGAAAGTAATTAATGTTAGAAATTTTACCAGAGCCTCTTGTATATATTTATGTATGCATAATTTAGGATGTTACAGTAAATTTAGATGAGCAAGCAGTCATTAGCTGATAGTGACATCGCTGCCAAACTTCTCCCGCGGCGCAATCTCGCAAATTCGACAACCCTTTGTGCGTTCACAACTTATTCTCGCTCAATATTCAGAGAGCAGCTTATATTAACTTTAATGTAATTACGACGTATTGAGCATGTGCTTTTGATAGTTCTAAATAATAGAATACAATTATAAATCATGCCTAGCTTACCAGAATTTGACTTCAGCTGTGGTGGTAAGAAAATAGAAATATGTTAAACAATATTTACTCCTCGAGTGAAAAGAGACAGTCTTAAGTGAACAAATAAGTCTGCAATCTTGTTTTTCTTTTTTTTGTATGTCAAGAATCTAGTGCTTTCTCAATTTTTCAATTCTAACAAAATGTATGTTTTATATTTCGATTACTTGAACAAAATGGAAAATTTGTATCTAAATTCTGTCGTCGTGAAGACAAATCAATTGCAATCACATACAAGTAAAATATTTCCATTAATATTTATGCAACACTACATCTGTACTGACTTCTCGTTTCATATTCTGTCACAATCTTATAGTAAAATGGAATTTCAAAACGTACATTACATTGAATGTCTCAGAAGTTTCGCCCCACTCGAAAATGTATTCACAATGTATTGGGAAGCCATTGCCGTGTGTCATGCTGTACTCGCTCCTATCTTCAGGTGTCCTATCGACACTGTTTTATTTTATGTTACTGCTGTGGAAGTTTAAAAAGTCCCATTTACATGTGAATTTTAAATTTCATGATGCGAATTTGCGACCGCACTCTTCCGTCGTTTGCATACATTTCGATTCTGTTTATACTTTTCTTTCAAGTACCGCTATTATGAAGTTCTTTACTGGGTTACTCGCGATCGTCCACTTTACATTCTAGTTGCTTTAACGTTAAGATCTAAAATGTTTTTATTTTGGTTGTTTGTTTAGTGTAGTATTTTTAAGTAAATGTGATATTCTAAAATATGCGCATGAAAATAAACTCTTTGTCTGAAAAAAACTTGAGTACGCAGAAATTTCCATTGAATGGTATTAATAAAGAACTTGTTATATCGAAATAACAACACGTAAAACATTTTCTTGGGCAGTCCAAAATTTTCCAAAAACATTTACATCCATTATTAAAACTTTTACACAATAATCCAAAACATAATACGGAACGACGAGAAAAAAAAAATTGAAAGCGAACAAATATTTAAATCTCGAACTGGAAGTTTCACTCAATGCTCAATCATTACTCCGTCACTGGTCCAACTGTGAAAAGCATCGCCGATGCTAATTTCATAAACAAACAATAGCAAGTGCCTAATGAAGGGTCCGCCGAGCAAACTTTCTTATTCTGCGAGGGAAAGGCCGGGAGCTCTTCCGTCCGATCCATTTGCTTGTTTATCCTGGACTTAGAAGGCCCGCCGCGGCCGCTCCAACGGAATAATGCTCCCCAGGAAATGGGAATAAACTGCGCTCCACAAAACTCTCTGTAAAGTTCGTGTAAAGTATTTTAACAATACTTTTACCGCGAACAACGCAGACTTTTTTGTATATTTCTCGTATTAAAGACTGTTTGGTATATCGTGTCGTAATTTGTTGTTTGCTTTAGAGATTGATTACTAAAATTTTATTTCGTTCTTGTAATGTTGTTACACTATTAGATCCTAGATTTGTTCGAGCGTTAATAAAAAGGAAAACGACTAAATGCAAACATTTAAATTGTCAACATCTCCATAAACGTTTCAGAATAACATTCTCAAAATATTGTACCGTGATAAACGATATAACGTCCACCCCAAGTCTAATGTGAATTTTAAAGAAAGAATGAAGAAAGGTCTCCTTACACGCGCCGGAGGCGGCCGGCGCACGTCCTCATGCCTAATTTAATCCTCGGCTTATTAAAATAAAAACGGCATAGGTTTTCGACAGGTGCCGCGGGCGAGGACGCCGGAGGGTGTGCGGGTTGCGGGCGCGGCGGGCGGGTCACAGGTGGCGCCGATGGTCGCTGCGTCGTTAAAATTTACATAAAGTCTCAATCCACGACGCCAGGCTCCCGGCTGCCCGCCCCACGTTTATGCTACATTTAGTAATTTTATGATAATTTCGAAAACCTTACCGCCACCCATCGCATTATACTAATAGACCGCCTCTCGGTAGCGTCCGCGCCGCGTTGAAAATACTCCGACGCCTCGAAAATAATAAGTCTCGCTCTATAAATCGCACGAAACGTGTAGCGGACATGGTTTTTTTTTTTGAAAAATTAATAGCAGATGTGTTGTCGAGTACTGGGCACGTCGGGGGTGGGCAGTCTGAAACTGAGGCGCATAAATCTACTCGTTAGGTGATGTTTTTTTTTAGATGCGTTTTGATTAATAGCGTATAAAATTGAAGTGTTCGAGCGTAAAATTTTTAATATTTAACTTTTAACGACGGCTGCAAAGTGTAGGAGGGAGGGAGCGTTAGAAGTGGGGGTCCGAGTGAGTTCCATGCAAATGGATACCTGGGCGGCCATTAAAAGAATCGTTTATAGTTAACAACAGACGCGGAATGTATCGAATGGGAAGCTATAAAAACAAATGTTGTATTGTTGCAGTCGAACTTGACACACCTGCCGCGGCATGAGTACGTGCCGGGGATCGGCATGGGCATTGCCAAGTGCCCCTACGACCCAGCGGACAACTCGACAGCGCTTTGGGTGGAGAGGGGCAACCCGGGCTCTTTGCCAGCGCTCTACTCCGGAACCAACGCTGAGTTTACTAAAGCGGATACCGTCATCTTCAGAACTGATCTGCATAACCTGACAACTGGACGACGGGAGTTCTCATATAAGCGAACTCTGAAATACGATTCCAAATGGTTGGACAGTAAGTAATTGATAGTATTTTAAATCATATTTTAGTATTCACAAACATTATGGTAAACATTAATTTGTCATATTGATGTAAAACTATGCATTAGGAAGAATAATAATAAATCGATATTTACGTAAGAATAGTAACAAATCACTCTGTAGCCGTGAATCGTTCACTAATTGTTCAGTTCACGATGCTCGATGAATTCACAAATCAATGGAATCATTGAAAATCGGAACGTCCCTAATCAGCAATCAGCGACCGCGGGCAGCCAGGCAGCCGGGCCGCCAGGCAGCCGGGCCGCGCTAATCATTACGACTATTGTTACAATTATCCGCTCTGACACGATTTAGGATTTGGAATTCGCCTGTTTGCGACTAAACAATGAAATTAAACTGAGCTCACTCTAACGACCTGTTTGTTATAGCTACAATCTTTATCAGTTGATTTATCAACTATACGATACATTTATTTAAAATTAAAATGAAGTTAAACTATATTAAAATTATTGCTTTGTTTGTTCAGTGTAAACATTAATTTAATTATCGTTATTGTCATCCTGTTTATTACGTTCGGATTTGTAATAACACAATTTATAGTGTACAGTTAAATGATTAACCATAATGTTAAATATAAATTATTATTTAATCTCAGTTTACGCAATGCAGCTGGACTATTAACCAGAATGATTATAATACAATATTTGTTATAACATTTTTTATATCCTCGTCGCAGTGCTCAGGTTTAAAAAATCTACTAATTTTAGTTCCAGTAGCAAAATTACTAAGAAGAAAAAACAAGTCAAACTCATTATTACTTTAAAGTCATTAGGTAATTTTCGGCTATAGTGAGAATAAAAGTATTTAGATAAAAAAAAAACATTGGCTCCTAGTAATGTTTTATGGTCATAATCGTTCTTTAGAAGTAATAAAGAAAATCACTTACACAATATGCGGAGAATTTTTCAAAATAAACGTCGGCTCAGTCAATAAACATTCGGGCGTGGAATATTCATCAACGTATAAACCCGATTTATCGGCCCAATTAATTATGATGGAGCTAAATAATTTATGACGCCAATAATTTAAAGGCCGGCCTTATTAATAATAAACCTGCGACTTGCGATTTTAATAAAACTATGTAGTTTGTGATGAATAAAGATATTGCTTGTGAACGTGCGTCGATAATCCTAGACACGTGGCCAGTTCATTATGCGGCCGACAAATAAGCAAGTATTAATGCGAGCTATAAATACCCTGTATAGAGTGACACGGCTTCATCTAATATTTATTGCACATCGCAGAGAATAATAGCAATTTGATATTGTGCTATCGACGTGGGAAAGAGGGCACAATTTAAAATACTATGGGATAGCATTAAAATATCAAACGTCTATAAATTTGACAATAACATTATATTTCATATAAACCAAAAATACGCTATAAAGATTAAAATAGAAGTACAAAGAAATCCAAAAAGAACATTCCACGTAAAAGTTCTTGAAAATAAATGTAATAATCGAAAAGACTTGCTTATTATAAGCAAAAACTTGCTCTAGTAGTCTTCTTTTGGAAAAGAATCTATCTGTGTTTTAAAATATTAAGACAAATCTTTGTTTCTAGAACCGAACTTCGTTGGTTCATTCGACGTCGGCGAGTACGTGCTATTCTTCTTCCGCGAGACAGCAGTGGAGTACATCAACTGCGGTAAGGCAGTTTATTCTCGGGTCGCCCGCGTCTGCAAACGTGATACCGGAGGCAAGAACATACTCAACCAGAATTGGGCGACTTACCTAAAAGCAAGGTTGAACTGCAGCATACCTGGAGAGTTCCCATTCTACTTCAATGAAATACGTAAGTAATATTCTATGCTAACGTTCTTATCCAAAACTTTAACATACGCTTTGCTTTATAAACTGCAAACACCTCATGCAATTTTAGATTTCCATCTAATCTCAAATACGATCTGTCAATCTCACTAAACAGTTTCAATAGATTGCGCTAAGATTTCATTGAAGTCTAGCCGATTTCTCGATACAAAAGATTGCTTTAGTTTATTAACGGAGCGACACGCTAGGTTTTTGCGTTCCCTATTCGATGTGCATTCTCCACATTACTGAAGAGCGATGTAGGCATATCTGACGCTCCGTGTTTGGTATGTGCGCGTAATTCGCATACCTCACTGTCATTACCCTATATCTATTAATGACCGTCGTTTATGATTAAAAGTGTCTTTGACAGTAATATTCTGTTAGATTTTATTTACCACCATTATCTTATTTTTGAATATGAAAATGTCGAACTACAGAAGGTATTTTCTATAAGTTTCGAATTAAGTTAATCTTCGTACATTTTGTAATAAACTTGAAAGGATATGGCAATGTAATATTAACCCCGCAAGCCGTGACAATGTTCACCAACCGTTTAGATTGACAATTATAATTGCTGAAACTAGTTGAATTGTGGCGGCAACTTTTGGTGACATCGAGATATAAAGTTCGTGTCACACAATTACGACAATTTGACTCAACTCTCATAACTTTGGACAAGCAAGAACAAATTAGACTTCGTGACGGTACTTGATAATTTCCCGGCTCAGTTTTTGGAGCCGTTTAATATGCAAATTGTATTTAACTTGTTACCTCTGTAGAATTGCGAAAAATTAAAGTCGTCATCTTTATAAACATTTTCGTGGCCATTTACGAAAACGAACATTACAATTTGGTTAATTTTTTATTACTCCCAAAAGAGAAGTAATTTTTTTTTATTATCTTTCTGTCAAAGAATGAAACGGTAAGTTCTTGGAATAATTATTAATTCAATGAATTTTATTTTTGCTACTACATTTTAATACAGCAATTTTAAAATGATTAAACTATTTCATGCTCCGAATTCTTTCGTTCAACAATTCAAAAACACGTAGAAACAATTTTGCTATGAATTTTTCAAAAATTTAAAACTTTCATACTAAATATTTTAGGGCAGCGATGATTTCGCCACTTATTTTCGTGTGTATGTTCGAAGACTGTTTTATTAATTATTAAAGAAATGTTAACTAAATATATCAATTTCTTTGTTACATAGAGAGTATCTACAAAGTTCCTGGAGACGATAGCCGCTTCTACGGGGTATTTACAACCGCGTCCACTGGTTTGATGGGCTCTGCGATATGTACCTTCACTATCGGAGATATCCAAAAAGCTTTTGAGGGGAAATTCAAAGAACAAGCCACATCCAGCTCAGCATGGCTCCCTGTTATAAGCAGCAGGGTACCGGAACCGAGACCCGGGACTTGTGTCAATGATACCTCCTCATTACCTGACACTGTTCTCAATTTTATCAGGTGAGATGGTATTATTATGTATGAACTGGCGAAGTGTTTAATTGTTAAATCTATTAAGAAAAGTAATTCGATAATTCCACTTATAATATTATTATTAAATGTTAAATTCATAAAATTTCAACTTCGATTTCATCCAAATAAATAAATGATAAAAAGGATATACAGAATCCTAGCTATGGACTTGTACGTAATAAATTTAATCACTTAAGTGACATCAAAATGCTATATGATCATTCGTTCGTCACCATATTATCACAAGTGGGTAGTGCGAAAACAGAACGACAATCGTTTAAACATCACTCCCGGTCTCCAGCGAGTCCGGGATGCCGCGCCCATTGAAATCCACAGGCACTTTTATCTGGCGACACGTCCTGTTAATTATCCGACGCTCTCGCCCCTAGAGTGTTCAATTATTTTTTTCTGCCCCCACTTTTTCACGATCCTCGTGTGGAAATGTTTGAGATTTTAACACTTCACCTGCAACACCCTGTCTGAAAATAGTTACATGAGTTTTTTCTCTCATTTGCAAGTATTTGAGTTTTATTTAAACGGATGATTTTTTGTTGTCTGCATCGATACGAATGATAGAGCTACGAAGCGTAGCGTGTAGACATTTCGTAGCAGACATTGTTTCGTACTTGGAAACAATACTTTGATTTTAAGTCTTCAGACAAAACTCGTCGTAGTGATCTTACGAGTATTATTAACATGTTTAATTAAAATAAAAATACATTTGATTAATTTGTTAGTATTTACGACTTTAGTATAAGCATACTACGTTTCCAACTATACTTTTGTCTTATCTATAACATATACTATTATAATAAAGCGTAAACAAACACTTTGTTGCCTAAGATGTCAGCAATTCTACCATATTTTTGAATAACCCTTTTTTAATAAAGAGCCCTGTACTTGCGTCACGCTTTAGGCTATATATTTTAACGACATTAAACTTAGGGGGAAATATTTTGGATAAAAATCCTAATGTAGGAAAGAGACCATAAGTTGCTGCCAACATCAAGAAAGCAAGGTTGCCATCATGTCATGTTATTTTGACATTTGTATTTGATAATTTGACGAATGTAAACAATAAAATAAAATTTTCATAATTAGATGCGCGTGAAGTCGCACGGGAACAGCTAGTCTATATATATAAAACTATGTCTTGTTTGTATCAGATCACATCCACTAATGGACAGCGCGGTATCACACGAGAATGAGAAACCGATCTACTACAAGCGGGACCTGTTCTTCACAAGACTAGTGGTGGACAGAGTGAGAGTTGATATGCTGGGACACCAGCTGGAATACACCGTGTATTATGCCGGAACCAGTAAGTACTTGAACAAACACCTGCTTAATTAGTTAAAAGACGAAATTAATTATTTTATCATGCTAATGTATTAAGGATCGGTTTCATGTTTATTCCACAAAACCTTTGAGTTATTATATTAAGAAAGGAGACGACTTAATATCACTCAACGAACAGTAAAATGTTGTAATTTAAGGCACTTGCGCAATGTTTTTTTTTTACTTTAACAAAATTTTATTCATTGTACATAATTACTATTTAAATAAATTAAGTCTATTCTTTATGTAATCGGATAATAGATAAAACAAAAGGAGATTTATTGTTCCAGTACCTATATATTTATTAGTATTTATGTTAGTCTCTATAGAACATTCTCTCCCCATAATCCCATGGGCATCGTGAAAGCTGACGGTAATGTATGCGATGAGCTCGCATCCTGCCACTGTTTATCACTATTTACGCACACATATATGTCTATATCACCCTTTTGTGAGATGCATTAGTGTTATTTCGAAACCACTTTATCTGCTACAAATTTGAAATGATAAAACCGGGCATAGGTCGGTAAAATGTCCCGTAAAAAGCTTCATTTAAAAAAAAAATCACAGGTTAACTCCCGTAACCTTCAAACCTCAGTAACGATTCAGTAAAAGACCCTATTTAAATTTGTAATAAGTTAACATAGTTAAAAATTATTTGATACAATAGTAGACATTTTTCCGTTTCAAATGAAGTAAAACAATTCCGTACAATAAAGCTACAAAACACACAGTCAACCTGGGAGTTTAGAATTTCATAAAAGTGACGAATTAAAAATGGCAACGCACTAGGAGATTAAAAAGTGCGAAAGTGCCACAATGGCTATAACTCGCGCGGCAGTGACGGCCGTGTGGACAGGCTCTCTGGACACCGAATGCCAATGCAACGCCCGAAGGGTTGGGGATTATGCACATTCGAGTGCGAAACATCGGATTTAGAGTTTAAAACACGAAAAATCTATTACACCGTTCGTTGTTTGTACCCAAATAGCGAACAAAACACAATTTTAAACGCTTTTTGTCAACTCACAATTTATTAACTTTTAAAAGCTTGCACTCAAGCTTTTAAGCCGCGCTGTATTTCTAGCAGACGGATGCTATTTTCCAGTTTTAATGGGCCAACAAAAAACTTTTCATGGTTCTTCTATAGAGTGCTTTTGTTTATCTTCTCAGTTAAGCCTAATTTTAAATAGAAATTTAAAGAAAAATGCTTACTATTTTGTAAACTGTAAAAGTATGTATACATATTTTAGTACTCCTTTCGCCTTCCCTAATGTTAGGGTTCTATAAATTTATGAATATCATGTCCGAAGATAATTACCATAACCGCTTTCCAGACAATTAGGCAGCCGCAGTTTAATCGCTTACAAACCAAAACTATTAAATTTCCTTCAGAACTTCCACTTACTATAGAGTCATGTGCATACATTGCACATCGTAAAAATAATTGTTATTACTTAGACTTGCCTGACCACCACAGCGCCCGGTAGCGCGTAAGTACAACCGCATTCGCCTCACGTCACATTTCTATCTGCATAAATTCGGTCCGCCGCACCGCACCGCACCGCAACGCTCTAAACAACGCCACCGAGTGCTAATTTTCGCCCATGTTGTTCCAATTTTCACCAATTTCCCTAGGAAATCGCTCTCAACCCCGTATCCCGTAAGAACCCGTACGGAAAGGATTAAACTCACGTAGATATCTAACGAAGGGGGAGTTCGTTTACTGAACAACTTTTACGAAAGGCGAGCTCCGGTTCGAGTTGGCGTTTGAAATGCTCGTGTGGAATATTAAATTGTTTAAGCGTTACCTTTGACGTTCCCTCATGTGCTTTAGCCACGTACCGTGATAATTACTCTAAGTTAATCTGCATAATGTAACTTTGGCTCCGTTTTCAATAGCGACGTAAAGTCTTTCGTTGAACATTATCACATTGTAGCAACGGGAACGTTTCATTACGGAACTTCAACGAGCAGTAAAATGTTTAAATTTAGCTAATTTTAGCGACAGTTGCGCTCTGTAAACGGTTACATACATTTAGACCGCGGCAAAGAGCGTAAAGAGGAGCGAAATCCGCATTCCCGAAAATCCGATGCACTCTTAGTTCGCTATTATTTACACTGGGACGTGAAATAAGTTGTGCGAACCGCCGTCGCAAAGAGCTCGAGGCATTTGGTGAAAAAGGACAGTTTACTCTTTCAATAAAGAGTTCTGTGGTAGTTTGGAGTCGGTTGCAATATTGCTTCCCCAACCGGGCCATTCGGAATGCTCATTGCGTTATAATATGCATTAAACGGCATCGTCCCGGCGGAAGGCTGAAGCGGCGCTCGAGGTGGCGGCAGACAATGAGAAACGAGCGTATGATGTACCCGCAATGCGGACCCTGTCTTCCTCGTTTGTTTTATCACGCCTAAATCACTGTTGCCAGACAACTTTTGTGCGCTCCTCAGACGTTGATAAAAGTTTGACATCGCTCATGTACACACGCGCTCGCTCCGTTTGTCAATGGAAGGGAACCGAGCTATCAAAGACGTTAAGAGTATTTAGAAGTTAACGAAGTTAATTAAATTCCGCGAGTTAGACGTCAACGCCGAGACTCTTTAGTATCAAGGGCGCCTTTGTTAACAAACAAACACAATATTAATGTTAACGTATCTCTCAAACACAGTTCCCATGTTAACAAGAGACTTGAAACTTAATTACATCGCGTCTGTTTTATAAAACACGCTTATGGGGGTAGTCTGTTTAAATTAAACTGATGACACCGATACTAATTCGTGCTGAGAATAATTTCAAAGTCCTCTTCCGTCAAATAAATTGTTGTTACTCTCTAGAATATAATTTTAAAACTTACTTTTATATATAGGTATTTACTATAAGCACCTAACACTAAAATATTTCCATTTTTCAATTCCAATTTCGACAAAATTAAAGAAATGTAACATTGATCTTACTGCATACATTTTTCATTTCCACTTCTGTCTAGAAAGAGAGGATATTAAATTATCATTTGCTTGGATAGAGAATAAAACAAGGAAGATATATGGGAAATTAAATCGTAGGCTGTAGCCGACGGGAGGAGCTTTGATGCCAAATGCTTTGAAAGCTTCTATTAAAAACGATTTAAAATTCACAGTCAGCTTAATGGTGGAGTCCGACAACTGATATCATTTACTGACCTCAACGCAACCGAAGTCGTGTATGCTCTTTGACATGTGCAACTTAATTATTCTCGTTTTAAAATACCTCTAGTGCGATATGTTTAGTTTATTAGATTAACTCACGTATACACCTTTAACGTAAAAGTCTCATTTTACGATTTTAGAATTATTCATTGCAATTACTTTATCGAGATTTTAATGTGATATTGTTTTGTAATACATATAAATATGAAAAACGATGTACTTTAAAATTACGAAGCTTATAATAATATGAGCAAACTATATCTTAATAAAACGCTGGAGTAAACCATCTTACGCTGTTTTCAATAAATTTGATAATTCCGTTTCCTGCAACGTGACTATAAATATTGTTTACATGCCATTTGTGGCTGTTGCTATGCAATACGTACATACAACAGCCAATCTTCAAACTCACCGATTGAAACTTTAATACATGACTAGTCAGTAAACTAAAGTTGTTGAAGCCAGAGCAACTAAATCACATATCATTTTGTTAGACCGCATTTCATGTTTATGTAGAAACTTGGACTTCATGCACTTAAGTAAATGGGTTTCCGATACTTATAAGAGTATTTGCAGCGGATCGCTAAGGTTTATGCCTGCTAAGTTATTTTGAGGATTATTATTCACTTCGTTATGGACGTTCTTGTTTTAGATTAGTTAATGTGCACCCTGCTTTTAGTGCCTATCAATTAGTGATTATTTTGGCTTTGTTGTTCTACATAATACGATTTCCTTAATTTCATAAAAAATGTACAAATTAACTAACTATACCGCCAATACCGCCTAATGCTTTAGGGTAAGGACTACCGATCTTGCGGTCAAAGGGTTCGAATCCTACCATTCGACAATTTTGTGAACCATATCCTAGCACAAGCCTATAGCTTAGTTGGAATGGTTAAAGGAAATATTAGTAAATTAACAAAAATCTACTAATATTTTTATAAAAAAAATTAGAATAGAGCATTGTAGGTATATAAATCTACTCTTTGCTGTGTATCTTGGATATGACAAGAGACAAGATGCTTTTACCCTTGAGAGTTAAGTTTAAATTTCTGCAAACTCATATTAGGATTTCGATTTGCTTGTCTAAAAAACAAAACAATTGAGATATAAAAACAGATTGACTTCACAACTAGAATTTTCTTTAAAGTACGTAGCTTAAAGCCAATGGACATATCTATTGAAACACATTCTTAAAATAGGTACATTTATACAGAGGGGTCGAACGAAGTGTTACAAAAACGAAATCAATTCTATTTTCTTCCGTGACATTGAGTGACAGCTATTGCCGAACAACAAAGCAATTAGCAATCGTCCTAATTAACATTCAAATCGCGTCCGACGTGAATAAACATTGATTTTTTGCTCCAAAACTGTAGGGCGGAGGTAGCGAACGGGCAGGGGAATACTAATGCGTTCACTTTCGAACGCTTATCGCGCCCGCTAACAGCACCAACGTTTTTTGCATAAAACATCTCATCAAAGGATTGCTAAGGTGCCACAGTATATTGAATATCAAAAGGTGCACGGTCGAGAAAGTTTCAGGGGAGGAAGCACGCGGCATCCCTAATGTCGGCCACCGTCAATTCCTACTTTAAAATACACCTATGGAACGTGTCTGGAATAAGTATCGCAAAGTTTTCTATAGAATTTTTGATACTGATTCAATTTTTATGGAATTTATTTTTAAAATATTATATCGGTGGTGGATTTAACATTCATTGAGGGTGCGTAAATGCCTTACACCTATTTTCATTTCATAGATCTGTGAAAAAGATTTTTACGTACATACTTGTG